TATGAATGAATATAAACACAGAGTAAATGTATGATTATATATAGGGATAAAAAGGAATTAAAATCAAAAAAATCAAAATTTAGATGAAAATAAAAATCAATAAAAATTAGAGACAGTTTGCAGTCATATACGTTTTGATAGAAATGCGAAAGTATTGATAATATTATATAATATGAATTTAAACATACGTTAATAATAATGTCTATGAAGCGAATGAATGGAAAATAATTACAATCAGTCTTTTAATACAGTGAAAGACAGGTATGCGATGTCTTTCCTTAGATTACTCAACGAGTAATTAGTGTTGGATTTGATGGTGAAATTGTCACCCGTTTTGATGACACAACTGGAACTGGTGTCCACTTTAAGTAGAAGCGCGCCGTATGTGACGCACAGATGTGTCTCATAATCGCCGGTTCGGGACTTGTTTTTAGTGGCCATTCCCTGGAAGCGCAACATTCCGATGGCGTCGCCTTTGGCTCTGTTCTTGTTGATGATGGCGATGTCGACGCCCTCGCTCTGAGCCGACACTTTCCACACCATATCGTCGAATGACTTGATATTCGAGTTCGGTTTCTCTTTATTGGTCTTCACTTTCTTGTGAATACTTAAGTCGAAAATGTTTATCTCTTTGCCTCTCTTCTCATCGAAATTCAACTTTCGTTTAATTCCTTTCGTATTATTTGTGCGAACTCTTCGTATTTCTTGAGAGCCTTCGAGAACTGTTACGATCTTTTCGGTGATTCCAGAGCTGTCTCTCTTATAGACAGCTCTCTCGCCTCTCCAGAACTCCAGAGGTTGTAATCGATTGCGTTTCGATCGCCTCAACTCTCCTTCATTCTCTTCGACGGTCTCTTTGCTTGACTCCACATCTGGGATCTGTTGCTCCTCATGGCCTGTGGCCACGTCTTCGGCATCACTTTCATTGGTTACCATTTCCACGTCATTATTATCAATGCCTTCGTCATCACTGCTATGATCTTCGATATCATTGGGAGCCGTTTCCACGACATTAACTTCTTCGGCATTATTGTCAACATCTCCGCAATCGTTGTTCTCGTCTTCGATATCATTGAGAGGAATGAAGACATCGTTATCATCTTCAATGTCTTTATTCTCTTCGTTGACATTAGTATTTAAATCTTCAACAATATTGTTGTTCTCCTCAATGACCACATCTTTCTCGACATCCTTTTCCAGATCTTCGACATCACTCTCCTCTGCATTGTCTTCGGCCTCCACTTCACTCTCTTCTTCGCTGTCTTGTACGTCGACTTCACTCTCCTCTTCATTGACCTCAGCCTCGACTTCACTCTCTTCCGCATTGCTTTCGGCCTCGACTTCACTCTCTTCTTCATTGTCTTCGGCTTCTACTTCACTCTCCTCTGCATTGTCTTCGACCTCGACTTCACTCTCCTCTGCATTGTCTTCGGCCTCAACTTCACTCTCTTCTTCGTTGTCTTCGGCCTCGACTTCACTCTCTTCTGCATTGTCTTCGGCCTCGACTTCACTCTCCTCTGCATTATCTTCGGCCTCGACTTCACTCTCTTCTTCGTCATTGTCTTTATCATCGATATCATTGTCAACATCGATAGCATTACTCAATTCATCTTCGACTTCACTGTCCTCTTCATTATCTTCTTCTACGTCCTCAACATTATTATCCATTGTCTCGACATCATTGACGGCCTCTCCGACAGCCATTTGCTTACCGTTTGATTCATTTAACTCAAGACCTGTTAAGTTGAGACCAGGCATCACATCGGTGTCAATACCTGCCGTCATATCCCGACCCCTCTCTATACTCTTGTAGCGGTCGTTCATTCGAGTCAACGACTGATCAATGGTTTTGTCAATTATGGGGACATCGAAGGTCTGATTGCAGACATCACTCATTTGTCTCAGACTATCGTTTGTTTGAGTAGTGGTCGACCGGAAGGAGCGATGCATTTGAGTGGCGGTCGTGTCGTTGAAGAGCGTTGTGTTGTTGACAGCAGTCGTGTTATTAATTGTCTTATTATTCCTCGACTTCTTCTTCTTCTTCTTCACAATAGTCATTGGAGTGAATGGCGAGCCGTAGGGACTGCTGTCGAGAACTGTGCGCTCCAAGTACTCCGGTATATAACTCTTGCGACCAACTGATCGCATAGTCCTCTCGTGTATCGGAGTCTTCTGTTTCACGGATCTGTTCACTGATTCTGTAAATGTAAACAATATTAGCATTTATTCAAAACAAATTCAAAGGGAAACTCACTCCTAATGACAGTCGAGGGCTTCGGACTCTCAACTGATCTGCCGATTGGTGTCAGCGTTTGGTTCATCAAAATGTTTGGCAGAGGTTTCAGCGCTTTATTGGCCGACCTTTTGGTGAGACTTAAGGGAACATTAGGTGTGGAAGTGTTGGCCACACGTCGGCTACTACTCGATGGTGCGCACGAAGGGCCAGCGATTGGCAGACGTTTGCTTGCCGTCTGCGGGGTCGACGTCTGGATGCCTTTAAGACAATTCAAGAACGTCTGGTCTTCATCCGAGTCCCCGGAACTGATGCTCAGGTTTGGCATATAGGCGCCAAAGTTGACGGCCGGCGCGCTGTTTCGGCTGCCATTCTTGCGGTGAATGTCTGATATCCGACGGATGGTCGACAGGAAGTCGTGCGGAACCGATGGCTGAGCGTCGGTGGCTCTGGAGATGGTCTCGATGTCCGCGTAGCTCTTCACGCGTATGATGTTATGCATTAATGGCGGACGACTTCGAGGTCGACGTACGCGCGACAACGGATCCAAATTCCATGTGACGCCTGACATGACTGGTCACTGATCACCAAATGGCACGAAATGTGGTGATAATTGACGGACAAGTGATGTATAAACAACTGATTCACGAAATTGCGGTCAAAACCAAACAAATGACTGTTTTTTGTGTGATTTCCACACAAATAGCGCTCAAAACAGTTGTTTAGTGAACCGCTCTCTCCTCGCAACCAATTGGAGACGAGATTTGAATTTTGAATTCATGAAAGTCTCGCCCAATCACGAGAGGGCTCTCACTATCACTGCACACGTGTTTGCATTCAATTCAATGCATTTGTTGTACAGTATATTCATTTCATTTAAATTATCCATAAGTTTAACGCCAATTATGCGTCAAATGAATTGAATTCATAAAATATATTTGTTTTTAAGTTAGTTATATATTAATCACAAATTAATTACTTGTTTAAGTTGTCAATTATATTGAGTCCTTATTTATGTACAATTGGTAATAAATTTGTAAACAAAATAATATTATATCATATTATGAAATCCAAAACCGTATTCAACTGACAGTTAATCATATGTTTGTTACTTTCAAAAGTGTTTCAATTGATTGTAATTATGTTCAATGGTTTAGTTGGTCATCAAAATGACATCAAATCAATGCAAACGTTTGCAACAAATACAGCATTTGAGTGCATTTGGCACTGAATGTCACAAATCAGTGCAGAGTTTGTTAAGTGAACTGAATTGGGATGAAAAGCAAGTCCTGAATGTGAGTCTAAACATTGAATATAATTTAAAGTGTGAATCAATTTATATGTATTAGTCTGTGACGTGAAGTCTAATTGATATATATATTTGTGCGGATAGTGTGAGCCATTGGTGTTGTGTCCGTATGATAGCCGTCACCGCATGTCCTGTCAATCAATTGGCAAACACTTAGAAAAGTGTGAATTAAAGGCAAACGGATTGACAAATGAGGAGATTGTGAGTGAATAGCACTTCTGTGGCCATCAATCAGACCCTGTATTCAACACAAACTCAATATTATTGCATATATTTTGTCATTGATTTCTAGGAAACACTTCCTCCGAGTTCTGCCTTTTATTACAGTGAGAGCGCAGACATCAGTCCCGTTGTGATCGATAAACAAATTGAAGACACAATTTTGGGTAAATATTAGTTTACTATTCACTCAAAGTTAATAAGGTTTGAGTCGATTGAAAGTTATATAACAGTGAGAGCTATTGCTATACAATACCTGTCATCCTATAGACCTATACTATTGGCAATGGTATACCTGTAGTATCCATACAGTAGTGTAGTTACTATACGATCGACTGGTATGTATTATAAGTAAAAAACAATTTCCTGTTTGACTAATAAGTCTTTCTATAAATTTGATTTAAAACATTGAATGGACTTTTGATAGACTCATAAAAGCTATTTTTATTATACCATTTGTTGACATAAACGCCAAATAAAGTCATTTTATGGATTATTTCATTGCATTTGGTTTTATTTTACAGCAATTCAACAGATTTTCGATAAACTAACCATAAATAAGATTTGGATTCAAATGATTGTATCCTTAAATATAAATATAATTTAATTTAAAAGTAATTTTCTTTGAATTTTCCAATAAAGCACTTAAGGTATCAATTGTTTGCACTATTCTATGAGAAACAAGTGTTTTGTGCAAAGGTTTCCTCGAGTTTTATCGATTAACTTTTGATGACATTTGGGTCTACCCTTTAGGCGAACCAATAGGTGATGGCTTTCGAGGCAATCGATCGCGTATTGAGTTATCATCTGAACAACGATTAGCTCTTTATTCACACGTCATTCAAACGAATAGAAAAACTAGAGATGAGTCCACTATAGACGACAAACAGTCGGAACAGTCGCTGAAGTCTTTGACCATTGATTTGTTTAGTGATGTTCGGGAGAAATTAGACACAAATCCTGACAAACAAAAGCAAGAAGTGGTCGACAGACTCGAAATGATTGCTATGAATAGGGATATGAAGAGAAGACGTCAGTCATACAAAAGCTCTAAAAACGTTCACATAAGAGGAAAGTCTTACACAGAAATCCTCAGAAAAGTTATCGATAATCATTGCCAAACACTGGGAGCCAACCAAACCTCACACAGCGATGCAAACACAAAGACCAGTGAATCTCATCGACAAAGACATAAAACTCATAAAACAAATGAAACCAAAGATAACTATAAAAGTGAACATAAATACAGTAAACATAGACATGAATCCCATGAAACACATAGACATCGCAAACATTAGGCTGTTTTTGGCACATAATTAGACGAAATTAGAGATAAAAGTGCAAAATAATCACATAATTGTCCACAAAATTGTCTTTTATTTATTTTCATATTTATTTTACAAAACAAAAACGTTAATAAAATTTCATGTATTATACAATGAGATTAGAAAATTAAATTATATCTTGAAGTATACTATTTTTATGAAATATTTATTTGACTGTATATTTTGTATAATAATATATAACTTATATAATGACTAGAAATGGCTCTTTTCATTACTTTATATCCAATTCTTGTGATTAAATTGTTATGAAGTTATTGAATATGTTTTACAAAAATTGTTGGGTTAGTCGTAAGGACTGAGAAGTGTGTTACGAAAAATGCAAACAATTATTATTTACATTTAAATGAAGTGATGATTCATTAGCGAGAGTTTAAGACCATTAGATGTTTTAGGTTTGGTCTTAATGTTCAATAAAAACTGATGTATTGGTTGTTGTGACACATCATTACCGTTAGGTTTGCCTTAATCACGAGAGTTGAGCCGAAAATGGCTTTTCTAATAGAGTTATACTTCTGTGAGAATTTGAATTAATGTAAACATCAAAACCATTTACTGTCTGTTGGCTGCACTCAACACCATATCAATCGCCAACACAGTCATCGCCACAACTCTAAGAGTCTATCACAGCCACCGGTGCCGAATATTACTAGTAACCAAACTACTGTACAGTACAACAGTTACCACAGTGTAGACAATCAACGTATTTATCATTTTATAAGTTATTTATTAACAACAATTCGATCACTTCTATGGCATTTACTGGCAATACAACCATTTGTTTTAGCAGTGATTCACTTGTTTCATAAGAATCGTTGCAAATTGTCTCAAATATTATGTGTTTTTGGAAAAGCATTTTATGTGACAATATATTCCATAGAAAGCAATGACTCTTACAGTTAAGTAGTTATATATTCATTGAAAAACAGTTCTGTGTATTGAATGCCAATTGCGAGCCAAACGTTAGATTAGATACAAAAAACGAGACCTTCTTTCGTATTGACTTTTTCTGCCGATAATTGAGTTCATAATAATAGAGTTGACATAACATTAGATTTCAATCATAGAGTAAGTTGTCTATTGACTCACAAATTATTTATATATATTTTATATGAAATACTTTGGTTTCATATTTCAAGAGAATTCTCGCGAAAAACTGCTCTTAATTTCAAATCATATATCATTTGATGTGTAATACGAAGAACTCATTTATTTTGAGTACTACTACAAGAAGCAGTTCCCGAAGAAGATTCACCGCTACTTCCGTTCGCTGGAGTCGAGTCTAAATGATAATGAGTCGGGATTTGAATGAAATATCATTTTATGCCTTAATTACAAATAATTACATTCAATAAGACATCTAAACAATAGTTTAGTATTCATTTCATATCACTAAGCCTTGGATCTAATGGTGTGTACAAAAGGGCACCGGTATTACCGGTACTAATGTGATTGCAAATTAAATTTCTAATAAATTACTTGCAATTCAATAATGGTTTTCACAAAACAAATAATACAGTAATCAAACTCAAAAAGATTATAAGAATTTAATTTATTTGAAAAAACTAAACATTTTTGGCACAAAATTTTTGGTTTCAAATAAAAAGATAAAATCACTTATAAACTGATACTTTGAACAGCGATTTATGCAATAAATGAGACACAAATTGTTTATAAATTATAATTAAATGACAGCAACATGTGACAAATATATTTGAGTGGAATTAAGGGATAAAATAGAAAAAACTAAATGAATGTATAAATTGAGATTAAAATGCAATCAATGAATGGATAATAAGTAATAAAAAATCAATTATCAGTCATCGAGTGATTGATGGGAGCTATGAATGCATGACATAATCAACGGCTAATGAATGCTAAATACCATTGAAGTTGAGTTTCTGCAACTCATTGGGCAAATCAGATGTACTTAATTGGGATGACTTCTCCTCGAGAATGTCTGGCATCGCATTCCGTCTTCCGGTGCGACCGGTGTTGAGGAACTCGTCGACCGACTGGCCGGGAGTGTCACCACTGCCACCACTACTACTCGCTGAAGTTGGCGAACAATTGGCAGAGCTATTGGAAGTGCTTGTCGTGGATGTCGACGGCTCCGATGTTTCCATTGATTGTCACCACCACTGGACACAAAGACATACACATATCACTCATTAGGCATTCATCAAGACATGGATCAAGACATGGATCAAGACATGGATCAAGACATGGGTCAAGACATGGATCAAGACATGGCAGCAACACGAGTGTCCAAAACAGACACCCAATTAATACTGCATTCAATGGTCACTCAAACGAAGACTTACTTTAAGTTTGGCCGATATTTGTGTCACTAATCGGTTGAATAAAACATGAGTTAATCAATTGGTCACCAATTAATCCATACGATTATCATTGAAATGACTGCACATCACATGCAACGTGTAAATCACCGATTGATTGGCAGTCACTAACAGTCACTGATAGCACATAAATAGACAACACTTAGACACCAATGATTCACATGATTATGATAATGACAACAATTATAACAATGATATGAATCTCAGAAAACAATCAGACAATCAGTGTTTGAAAGCGAGAGTCAGTGTTGTGTTGAGTGAATGCAAACACAGACTGACGGCGAGTGTGAGTCAGTGCTCAGCCAATGCTATCATACGATAGACTCGATGCTAGTGCTGTGCACTGCAAACAATGCAACACTCATTCACAGACTCATAGACTCACACACTCTCTGCCTATGAATACATTGAATCACAAAAATAGCGTATATTTCGTATTCACTAACTATTTATCGTTTGATTTGATTACTGCTCTCAGAGTGGATGACAACGGAGTTGTAGTTTGGGAGAGAAATGTATATAAAAATATAAATAGTTTTGTGTTAAAAAACACTTAATGCAAAACTATATTACCATTTAGGATGCAGTTTATTATGGCTTTTATTTTTATTTTCTCTCTCATATATAATATATTATTATTACAGCTATTTATGGCATTAGAAAAATGTTTGTCGAGAGGCACTCATGAATTTATTTAATTACATTCATAGGGATTATTACAATTGCTATTAAATATTAGGAGTCAACTGATTTGTGTACCAATCCTTCATCCCTGGCCTTTCATATATGTACTGTATATATATGTATTAAATGGTAAACTAAGTCACAGAATATTCCTATCTATCAGAATATTACTGCCAGTTATCCAGCTATTCATAGCCTCGCATGCGTTGACTTAACTCTTACGACATAACAGTTATATAACTATTTTTTATCCACAACTCAACTCTTCTCTGCCTTTTTTGCAGTTATTTTTAAGTATCGATTGTTTACGAAAATGTTTTATGAACACAGAATCACATCATATGTACATTCTTGAGACTCAATCACTCTTTAAGTTATTAATTGTTTGTAAACAGAAAGTCTCCGAAAGCCTTCAACTCAATATTGGCACCAAATTGATTGCATTTCTTATATTATTTGTTTGCTTTCATAGAGTGGACACACTTTGAGTTCTCCTATTCATTGCTTAAACTATCGTTTTAATCAATACTTTTATTTAATGCTTAAGTAAATGTTTAATAATAATTAAAAAAGAAATTCTTATTAAATTACTTGAATTGCAGGTATAGTTGTATTAAAACTTTTTTCGGATCAATAATTTTAATTTATCAGTGAATTCATAGCATTTTTCGAAAAAGTAGTATTTTTAATGAAGTTTTTATAGGATTTTCAAATATGTTTTTACTGTGAATGCATTACTGAGACCCAGAATTTAAATTATTAAAAGTGTAGGCATTTTCAATGCATTAAGAATTTAATAGAGATTTACACGAAAATTACATTCATTTTGCAAAATAAGCTCTAATTAGGAGCTGTACCTCAAGTTTATGGGATTTGCTGTTGAATACAATATTATCTTCAACTCTGCATTGAATTTAATTATTTAATTTTCAAAATAATAATAATGAAGATACATAATATATTAATTTTTGTTAATCAAGAGTTAGTAAATTAGAGTATCTAATGATTTGAAAACATACAAATATTTTATTTATGCACACACTGTCTGTTTGTCTGCTTATCTCTCCCATACTCTCGCACTCTCTCTCTCTCTCTCTCTCTCCGTCTGAAATATTACAAAAATATTTTAATATCTTATTCTATCATAAAGTGAATATTAAAGCGAGAGATGACTTAATAAATTATTTACGCAAATGATTTCTACATAATTTCTATCCTAAAAAGTCAAGGCTTGCGAAGTGAGCCAACAATTCTGAGAATTTTTATTCCCAAAACTCAGACAATTTCCAGAATTTAACACAAATCGATATAAAGCCGAGAAATCTGTGTTTCTTTTTAAAAAATTTTCGCTGTTTTCGAGTATTTCATCGAAAAAATAGTACAAAAAATAGTGAATTCAAAACTATTTCGCTGGCAATCATTTGGTGCAGTAATGTGTTGTTCTTTTAGTGATTTAATGCCTGAATCCATAAAACACACCAAAAGGGCGACAAATAATGTATTGAGTAAATAGAAATGTGAAAGAAATATATATATCTGACAATTAACAAAAGGAAAACTGATTTCTCTCTCGTTTTTGCAAATAAATGTAAAGAGAGTTCGACGCTCTCAGCATTTCTAAGCATTTATTCTTGAGTTTTATGCCATTATTCTGTATTTGTATTTATTTTGAGAGCATTTATTCTTTAACTCAAATCGATTCTGTGAAATGTGATACAAAACAGTCGGACAAATATTTAATACGAATAAATCGTATTCTAGAGTCAAATATCTTATATTAAATTAACTGTAATTTTAATATAATATATCCGTAATGAGCTGATAGTCACATGTAATCATTCGTATGGTATTTATATATAATATATATATTAAGCTAGAAATATATCGATCATCAAATCTAATTATAATCAAAAATGAAATTAGTTTTTCTCCGGTCATCAAATTCTTAAAGTAATTAAGTTTTATAATTGTTTTGCTATTAATATCAAGAAAATTAGTTGAAAGGTGGAATTACTGTAGAATTTATGATATTATTAATTGTTGAGTGAATTCATGTCTTAAATAATTATTTATAATTCAAGCAAAAAATGAGATGAGAATCTCATTTAATAAACATAAACGCATTAATATATTCAACAATTTTTTATAAGACGTACAGAAGTGTTGTATTGTGTAATAAATTTCATATTAAAAAGTGTCACTAACTTAAACTTAATGATGAAGTGTTGAACAGATATTCATCAATAATTTTAATGAAGAATATTCTTCATTATTCACAAAAAAAAATGTTTGAAAGCATATTATAATTACAATAATGCCCATAAACTTTATTTTGATTGATAAGCCTTACGGATGAGTGATTTTTTCAGATTTACATACATTTGGTATTCTGGCGTCAAATCACTCGTTACTATTATCGTATGAGTTATAAGAAGTTTAAGTTGTGTTTCGTTTCATTGATTCCTATTTAATCCCATCACAAGAGGGGAACAAATAAATAATAACTCAAATGTTACACAATTTCCACTCGACATGTATCGATCCATACAAATACTCTCTCGTCGTATCTCCACTTTACAACAAAATGATTGCAATATTTTCAAAGTATTTTATAATGTTTTTTCAATAACATCTACAACACTGAATACTACGGCTATAGAAAATACATTTGTTTTCATATTTCGTATCATAAGTTTTTAATAATGTTTTCTACAACTCATATGTAATGAATGTAAATCTCAATGGGAGTTATCTGGGATCTGATTTGAAAATGAAAAATGATTTCAAAATTAATACATAATATTTTAGGATATCGTTTACTTGCGAACAAATGTCTATTAGATTAAGAAAGATATCTTATTTTTCGTACAAATGCATGCATTCATGGCGTAAACAAGACCTAAAGATCTGTTCACACATTTTTCACTTGAATTTTTTTGTAAAACAAATGTGTTTTTCAAACACTTAAGTTTTTGTTGTAAATGAGAGAGAAATTTGCATTAAGTCTCAAAAACATAAAACGAAAGACTATTGAATCCAAAAAGTGATTTCAATTTGAAGATTAAGCATAAAATGTAAATTTATTTTTATAAATAAAAATCAACTTCGGGCTAAAGTGAACATCATTTAAAGGTCTAAATCTCTCCATTAACGCTAAAAAGGGTTTGCAATTCATTTGGTAATTGCATTAGAAATTAGCGCTCAATTTACAGTTTATTTTCGTCGTTAACAATAAAAATAATTAATTGAATTTTACAAAATATTATTTGCTTTTTAGTAAGTATTTTGATATGTAATTTAATTAATGACATTCATAATTATCGTTATAAAAATATGAAATAATATATTATGGGTGGAGACTACCTTGCACCTATTAGATAAAAGAATTCAATAAGAATGAGACCGAAAGAATTAAGTGATGTATTATATCGTTAGGAATTGATTTATTTAGCAATTAAATATCCAATTAAAGGGATTGGTATTTACCTGAGATGATAGGTCTGTTCATTGTATTATTCTCTTAACAAATAACTAATGAAATAGCAGTCGTTTTGTTGGTATTGTTTCAGTAGTTGGCGTTAATATAATACTATATTCTATACTATACTATACTTTAATACTATATTCTACTTATTATCAGATGTAAAGCTATACTAATTTTGTTTAAGGTTTTATGTTGAAGTCAACTTATGCCGACCTTTTAAATTACAGCCAGAAATACTTGAGTCGTAAACATATAAAGACAGTGAATGTCTGCGAAAGTGAACATGAATTGAATAAATGATAAAAATTCAGTACAAATACATCTCAGATAGGCTTTAGTCGTGTTCCGCCAATAGATTAGAGATTTAGCAGAGAATTAGATGGGAATCGAATCGACTGTCTCTATAATATATCTTTGGATTTCACTCACAGCCAGCTATACATCACTGTTTGGCCCAAAGCTACCATCAAAAGTGTGGTTAAGACAGAGAGATAGGGATGTTGTTTTGTTTTTGAGGAAAATCATAATTTAATTGTACACTATATTGTTTTAGAGGGCATTCATCACATGAGATGAACAAATATAGTGTATATATTGC